TTCTCACTTTCTGTCTCTATGTCTTTCTCTGTCTGTCTGGCGAGCACACGTGCCCTATAGTGAAAACCTCTCCAAAAAAAAAAAAAAAAAAGAGCAACCATAGTGGCAAGGGTTTCCTTTAAGTCCTGAATGAACAATTTGTGCTGACTAAGCTCTTGTTCGTGCTGGCTAAGCTCTTGTCCCATTATTACCCTTATTACTTATAAGTAAGCAACCTTTGTTACTCACCGGGACGATTCTCTGCTGTCCTCCTCTGCGGCCTTTCTCAGGATGATTCTCGCCATCCCGTTCTGTTTTCCGCCGCAGCCTTTCTCTTTATTTCGGTGCTCGGGACGATACCCTGCCGTCCCCTTCTCGGGTGCTCTTCACTGGACCCTTCGTACTCAGGTCCCTTGTCTGGGGGCCATGTGTCCCGACGCAGGGGACAGTCGAACAGGTTTCCTGAGGGAAGGAGTAAGAGATGGGACAAACGACGCAGTATCTTCAGGGTCATCTCTTCATTGTGGGCAGCACAGAGACGACACAGTGTTACAACTCTTCAGGGTCATCTGGAGATGATGCGGTGTAACAACTCAGGGTCGTCCAGAGACGACGCGGTGTCACGGGTCTTCAGGGTCTTCAGGGTCGTCTGGCGATTATGGGCCAGGGATCGAGGTTATATACATGTTGGTGGGCTGTGATTGGTTGAATGAAGGATAGTAAAAGGTGGGTTATGATTGGTTGCTTTGTGGCCCAATCATGAGGTGCTGGATATGCAAATTTGAGAGATTCTAGTGGCTAATCAGACTGTGGCTTTGTAGGTGAGGTTTTGAAGGGAAGCCAATCACGGCTTTTGGCATTATGTAAGTTTCCTCTCTGAGAAACCGGCAATATTTGCTGGTGCACAGCCTTCCACACCTGGGGCGTACCCACTGCCAGATCAAAACCAGAGCCGCCTTTAATCTATGGCAGCACGACTAAGAAACTAAGAATTCTTATGTCCTCCAGCCACCAGCTAAATCAGGATGTGCAGAGGTTTTTTTTGTTGTTACTAAAGTTGGGGGGAAGCATTGTCACTTGAATGTGTAGAAACATTAGGAAGAAAAAGGACGTCAACTGGAAATCAGACTGGGGCGTCTCGGGCCCAGCAGGCCTCACCTGGTGTGGCGTGCTTTGTCTATTCCCCTCAGCACGACCGACTGGGCAAAGCAGCGTGCTCCGGAAGGGTCCCCACACGCAGACAGTGATGTCCACGGGGTGGCTCCTCCCAGCTGCGCCAGAGTATCAGGAAGGGACTGGCCTGGAATCAAGGGGAAGGGGATGGCTGCTGCTGCCGCCACCACCTAGGGACAAGAAAGAGATCAGGGGACAGCACTTTGCTCAGCACCGACCCATCTCCCCACGACGTTTGTACCTTCTTCCCAGAGAAGCCCAGCATGTCGGCCAGATGAACCATGGGAACTGGAGAGGCGCGGAGGCGGTAAGGAGCAGTGACCGTGTCCAGGGCCGTGGCCAGGATGGCACTGCAGTGGAAGGGCAGAGTGGCCTGTAAAGAGCACACCGACAGGAGCACTAGGTCTTCTGGGCTGGAGAAGGGGAGGGCCGGGGGCAGTGAAGCAGGGGTGTGTTTGGCCCGAGGCTGGATAAGGACGGCGTGTTGAGGCCCTATCAAAGCTAAGTGCAAGCTCAGGCTTTGAGAACAGAGCGGGTTACAGATGGAGGCCAACCTGGGGAGAAGGAGGTGGCCAGCTGCCATCAGAACAAGAGCACTGAGCCTTACATCATAATGCAGGTAAGGGAAGGTGACGGGTGGTTCCGGTCGCAGGCCCAAGCTCCCACCCAGCGATAGGGGGCAGACGAGAGAGCTGTGCGCAGCCAGGTGCACCAGACCGAAAGCTGTGTTTAGCAGACGGTAGACGTTTTTCTGGGGCTCCTGGTGGGAGAAAAGACAGGAGTTTGCATTTAAAGACGAATTCTCTCATTTCTTCGTCCCACTGCTTTTTCCAAGTCCGACTCACCCCTAGATTGTAGGGACCAGGGAGCAAGCCCCAGGTTATTATTCCTCGCCCCGAATACTCGTCTTGTAGTAGCTCTGAGGCCTTAGCGCCTACCCCAGAGAAACCATCGTGTAGGTCACACAGGATCTGGAAGCCCTAGAGAGAGGTGAATGGTGAAAGGGAGTAGAGGGCCGAGAGGCTATGCCCTGGCCTCCCCGTCCACACAGCTACCTGCAAGTAGTCACACTCCTCCACGTAGAAGTGTAGCCTGTCTTCCAGCTCTTCCAGGTACCTGGGTTCCTTCAGGACGCTCTCCCCTTGGCCAAAAGCTTCCAGCCTCCCTGTTTCCCTGCCACAAATAAGTCCAACCCAAGACTTAAAACCCTCCCCAGGGACTCTTCCATTTCTTGTGTTTTGGGGGCAGCCTCATGAGCTCCATGCCCAGCATTGACAGGGACCCGAGCCTCTTGCCTCCCGCCTCTGGGGTCCCCATACCCATCGTGGTTGTACTTCTGAATCATACAGATGCTCCGGGGATGGAGGTGGACTCTGAGGAAGTCCGACCAGACTCTGATGCTGCCCTCCGTGGGGATCAGTGGCTTTGGAGTTGCAGTGGTGCAGGGTGGGAGGCCTGAAGAAAGGGCAGGGAAATGTCCCTTTGCTCCATGCTCCTAGTCTTCCCAGGTTCTTAAATGTGAATATCCGGAAAAGTCTTACCTTTGCCATTGGGAATAGATTTGACCCTCCAGACGCCGTCACTGCTCAGCACTCCCTTGGAAGGGTAGAAGGTCTACAGTCTGTCCCAGGCATGTCAGAGGCAAGGTTGACTGACACTCTCTGAGTTTGCTGGCCACACCCCACAGCACCTTTCTATTACACACAGTCTTAGGAAAACAGCAGCTTTTCCTCCAAACCACACTTCTAAGACACTAAAGGTGATTAACATTTCTCCCTGTGTGGTCCAGCAAGTGGCTGGGCAGTCAGGTGGCTAGATCCCACATGGCCACCTGTGGTTCAAGACTAGGAACCAGAAGCTTGAGAAACACAGCAGGGGCGTGTGTACGCCCAAAATCCCAAAGGGAGGGAGAAATGGAGAAGGGTTTGCAGCATTACCATGCCCTGTGGGAGTGGTGCTTTCTCACTTTCCCTCTGTCTGGAAAGCACATGCGCCCTATAGCAAAATTTAAAAAAAAAAAAATCTCGGCCCCAGTGAAGGCACCCTGGTTGAAGGGCTGGGTTCGGGGCAGAGGCTTCACCTCAGCACGCGGAAGGTCCTGGAGATAAGGGTTCTTGGGACAGAGGTCTTCTTTGTGTGTGGTGAGCTTTCCCTGCCTGAAAGAGACGGGAGGTTGGCGGAAGCGAGGGGCTGTGCGCAGCTCTGCAGCCTCCCCTGACAGCAGATACACACCATGCTATTGCAGCGTCTAGCAGTTTGTCCCTGTAGAGAGCACCTTCCTCTTTGAGGGAGCTCAGGCTACCTGCACAGAAATAACAGGCCATGTCAGGGCAAAGCCGAGGGACCCTTCCTCCTGCATCAACTACCATCTGGCCAGCTGCTGTCACTATCCTTCCAGCACTTGGCTCTTCCAGTGTTACTGGATATAGGTTAGTTGAAGGGAAAACCCTGGTGTGGGCGAATCTAGATTCCATTTTCCCTTCCAGCTTACTCTAGCTGTGGACCTGGGGTCAAAACCATGTCCAGCGGTCCTACAGGAGCGCTGCACTGCAACATCACATTTTGCAGGGACAAGTAGCCTATTCAGGACAGCTGTTGAGTAGAATAGTTTGGCCTTCTTGCGTTCCTGCGGTGCTGTCATACTTTGGTTAGCAACTCATCTCTGGTCCTTCAGCCCAGTCAAGTCAGAAGGTCTTGAAGCGAACAGATGCCACACACATATCACGTGAGACCGACAAACTGGGCATCGGCTGACCCCTGCCGCCGCCTCACCCTTCAGATCCATGAGGATGAGTCGCGGCGTGTAGGTCTCCTGGCCGTGCAGCGTCTGGCCGGTCCGATACAGGACGTCGGGACATAGTTCTCCCGCCGCCTCCTCGCCATCATCGGCCGCTCCGCCCAGCCCAGCATCCTGGGGAGGCATAGAGGGAGGACTAAACTGAGGTGGCGAGAGGGGCAGCCGGAAATCAGTGCTTAGATTCGGAAAGGTTCAGGAGGGCCAACCGCTGGGGGACCTCACCTGCTGGTTCCACCAGTGCGCTCCCACGAAACCCGCAAAATGTCCCAACTGCAGCGTGAGCACCTCCCGGGACCC